AAGAAGAAGGCGCAGCTTGAGGCTGAAAAGGAGGACTTGCAGAAGCAGATTGATGCGCTTCAGGCACAGCTGGCCGAGTCGAAAGTGACCTAATTCACTGTTTCTATCTCAATCTGTTCATAAGCACGTCTCGATACATCTACAGGCAGCTTTCTTACTACGATACTATCTGATTGCTCCCTAAAAGTACCTGTTTTAGTGAAGTGATACTTCGAAGAGGCTAGAACATGGCCTAGTCTGTTTTAAGTTCGCTGGAGAAATGTCATGACCAGGAGAGCAATGATCCCACGAAGTGACAAAACCTACCTGCGTATACCTGCATGTGCGCGTAAAGTCCAACTACTGAGACCTCCCTCTGTAACCAAGACATGACTGGCTTACCGTTGGTTGTATTGTTACGTATGGATAAGTAAGCTTATAACATCCTTCCTTTTGTGCCGGAAAACCTGGTGGACCGGAATGACCCAATGAGATGCAGCATCTTGAAGAAATGACTGCTGACCTTGCGCTTTCATTGGCTAGTTCCAGCCCACTGATTTTTCCGCTACATGTGGAGGGAGGTTAGTCATCAGCGATTGCGACTCCACTTCCGCAAGCAACGTCACAAAAGTTATCATGAGATCGAGAATTGACCAATGTCATCGATTGACTTCCTGAACTAAGCTATATAGGGAAAGTGGGGCTATCCAAAACCATTACGCACCTGCATATACTATGTAGGAGTGAAGTAGTGGCCGTTAACGACTATATAGTGCGATAGACTCGATTGCTCAGTAGTGATATGCTGATCACTGAGCACGTTATACAGCTGCAGCGTGGTTGGAAAGATTATGACTCAGCGTTTTGAATCATATACTTCACACATGCTTACTGGCCTGTGAGCGTAATCAAAACCAATGTGCACACGAGAATTGGAACGACAAGCGCTTTCGTCATGTATTAGTAATGCATGACGGAAAAGGTATTCTGGATCTCCAGGCTATGTCCAACAACACCAAATGGAATAATTACGTGCGATGGCTCAAGGTTACTAGCAGCGAACTTTGAAATGGGAATCTGCCACAAAACTCAGAATGCTACGTACGAAAAGTGGCGCTCACGACTTATTGGCACGATTCCAAACTTCCCTCATCTACTGAATCTGATAGTGGACAACATATTGGTTCGACCCTTGATGGTCTTACAAAACATAGCTGCCCCCAGGTTGAAAGATTGGGCTTCCGGAGACGTGCGTGCAACATGGAACAAGCACATGAGACCCTTCTGAACACAAGTTCCAAATCATAATTGAAATCGTGAAGTTCTATTGTGTGAAGCGATTTCTATGTCAGCTTAGGCTATACAGAGTCCAGGATTTTCCCCTCGAGATGAAGGATATCCAAGGCTGGCATAGAATGAAGCACGTCTGTGTCTTAGGGTAGAATGCCAGAGTCGCAAGTGACGAGTTACAAAGATTTGATCTCGAGAGCGAAATTTTCTTTCCGTCTCAGAAAAGAATGATAGGCCACACTCCAACCTGCCGGAATCGGGTATCGTAAAAATTTGACTTTGCAGTCAAAGTAAAGCTACGTTGGCAACAATACCAAGAACCTCTCAACGGATATATGCCCATTAGGCACACCTCCACTCGGTACTCAGCTGTAGTATGCCAGGGTATCTACGTTACTAATTTAATTATACTATCAAGATAGTTCATTGGTTAGGTCAGTATTTTAGTTTTCACATTACCTTAGACTATCAAGAAATGACAGGAAAGAAAAGGAAAGGAAAGATAATAATCACATAAGATAGAATAAGCTAAAAGGACATTGGTGCAGAAGGAATTTCTTCTACATCCCAAGCCTTGTTGTCTTTTCCTACCTGAATATAACGGGCTGAACGCCCTTTTCGATAGCTCCTCGATGGAATCTCGGTTCGAGCAGCGCTCAGACAGCGCGCTCAGACAACAGGCTCAGATACTCCGACATAACGTTTCTCCTACAAATAAATAAACACCACGTAAGCAGAATAGATAGCTCCTTATCGAATACAACCTCTTGTATACCTCGTGATTGCTCCCCGGACCGCAGCCTCTTACACTGAAGTGCAGTTTTGCAGTATTTGTTCGTTTGGCCAGTGTCCGCATTTTCTTCAAGTAGCTTTTCTACTATGTTGAAGAAGTTTTTAGCTGCTGCAATATGAAGTGGTGTGTCTCCCTCGTCATTCTTAGCATTTACGTCCGCTTTCGCTTGTATGAGCACTATAACTGTCTTTGCTTTACCTTTAGCTGCTGCTTTGTGGAGTGCTGTACAGCCGTTGTTATCCTTGGCCTCGATTTTAGCCCTGCGGTGGATAAGCACTTTCGTAATTTTCCTTCTCCCATACATACTCGGGCCCAACGGCTGCTGTAGCAGAATTTCAATGAAATTGCCCGTGCTCCGCACGGGCCTATCACCTCAACGATA